TCTCCTACCCTCCCCTCCCCTCCCTGCCCTCCCAATAGTATAACCAACTAAGGGCATTTTAAAAAAGCCCTAGCCCTCCGCTCCCCTCCCCTCCCCTCATTTTATATCGAATCAATCAATCCTTTAAAATTGTGTCGTGTTTTCTTATCTTATGAGAGAACTAATGCTCTTTGGTAGATTTGATCATATCCATTTTCTACTAGTAGTTCCTCACATAGGTTCTACCAACAATTCCCTTTTTTTCTTGTCTTTCTTTTTTTTAGCTAAATTTTAGATTGGCCAAAAATTTTATATTAGACCAAACATGCTTCAAATCAAATAAATCCATAATTTTCGTACCTTTCTTTGACCGAGATAGCTTCGGGTAAGATGGGTTGCAAAGCCACCAGTTCAAAAATTATTGCCCCTTGTTCATTTTACGAACGACCACCACCGTCCAACCTCATCTATTTGGGAGGATGTTCTACAAGTTATCAAACTCTTTCAAAAACTACTCGGCATAGCCTTGGTTCATTTCCTACTCAAGGCGTACAAGGACTCGATTACGGAGATAAATTAAAATTACGACAGCATACTGGGAAGCAAGGTCTCTTTTTTATTAGGAACTCAAAGATTCATTATAATGTACGTCTGACCTCCGACCGGCTAGAGATCAGCTCGCTCGAACTCGTTCTCGTTGGTAGAACGATGAGTACCTGCAAAAACTCTCACACTGGAGGTGTTCCGGTGAAGAGTCTCCGATGCTTATGTCAGCATCACTCCAAAGCTCAAATCTGAAGAGTATAATAATAGAAAATCGTGTTGAAATCGTAAAGTTAACCACTGTATATAGGGGTGAGATATCTGTTGCATGGATGAACTGAGCTGGCTGCCCAAGAGTTGCCCAGCCTGCCCAGTCGTACAACACACACTGGGGGTGTGTCAGAGACGGTTATGCTATATGGACCAATCAGGTCATGCCACGGGTCCTCCACACACGGGGTTTTGATTCCTCTGTGATCTCCTCAAATGCTTTCACGCTCGACCACATCCAAGTCGATTCGCTAACTGCTCTGAGTCTAGTAAATGGTAGATCGGATGACCATTTGTGGAGCAGGTCGAACTTCGATCAGACCCTCTGCGGAGTTGGGATCGAACTGTTATCCTCATACTAGAATCCTTTTTGAATTACCCCCTGATCCACAGGCTCCTGGTCTTGCAATGTTCGACCACGACCACCCTGGATGGATTCTGTTCGACCAGGACAATTGACTCGATTTATTCGATCGGCTCACTGGACCAGTTTACTCCTTCAGTATAATATCACATATTACATTACATATGTAATCTCCTTTAGGGATAAAAAAATACTTCTAGCCTTTCATAACAGCAGCTGATATGGCATATTATATCTATTAAACCGATCGGCCGGGTCAACAGAATGAATCGGGTTAATCGGGCTGGTCGAGCAGAATACTCGTTGAATGGTAAAGGTTATAAGTTAAAGACACGCGGATTTAAGAGCACCTGGTGAGTACCAGCTTTACAGAGCCCGAGTCTAAGCACCAGACGGTCGAATACTAATGGTCCTAAGATCGACCATCCGTTGCTCTAGGGGCAGCTCAGCAGTTTTCCCAGACCTGGTCAAATGTCAGGGCGTCTAAGGAAAGCTTGGCCGCATGTGCGTAGGGACACGTGGCGCAAGTCAATGGCTCTATGCCCATAACGGTTTCTGACAGATTCTTGACACATTTGAGTGCGCACACCTGAGGGCGTACGGTCGGGCAGGTCGGGCAGCTGACTCATCAAAATCAGGCAGCATTTAGGGCAGGTATCTCACCTCTATATAGAGGGGTGAGGCTCATCCTTTTTAGACACAATCTCTCAATACTTATATATATTCTACATATATTCTTCATCTTCTTAAGGCTGACTTGAGCGTTGAAGGCTCTTCACCGGAAAATCCCTCATGTGTGAGAGTTTCGT